AGGTATCTTTAGCAGCAGTATAGCAACATTAGCCTCAGTCCTGGATCTACAGCCTCAGTCCTGGATCTACAGCCTCAGTCCTGGGTCTACAGCCTCGGTCCTGGATCTACAGCCTCGGTCCTGGATCTACAGCCTCAGTCCTGGGTCTACAGCCTCGGTCCTGGATCTACAGCCTCAGTCCTGGATCTACAGCCTCGGTCCTGGATCTACAGCCTCGGTCCTGGGTCAGATTAGGGCCCTTTAATGATGACTATGAACATGAAAATCTTACATATTGCTACTTTAATTTAAGAGATAAAAATGCTTAGAACTGTTGGGAATAGACAGAAACTCCTTTTGATTCAAGAAGATTCAAGATTAATTCATCATTATCCCGTAGGAAATGTAGCTGCTCCATTGAAAATACACAAACACAACACACTTACACAGACATGAACCATCAAAACAGACACAGTTGTTGCCTCGGAGCGTCACCTGAACCTGCAATCAGTCCCAGCCACAAGTGAAGCTGAGCCAGAGGAAGACACGGCTGAAAAGAAAGTGAATGGTTCCTAATTGTGTCATTTGTCTTCTCCCGCTGAGACTGTGAAAGCTGTGCCTGAGCCGCAGGACTGTGTCAGCTCACCCTTTGACTATCGCCGGATTACAAGACACATGCAAACACTGAGACAAAGCTGGCCCCGCACAGAGGACTCCACATGGTCCCTGCTGCGAAGGACACCGCGGAGAACCAGGGGTCAAAGGTCAGCTGCTCAATGGACTTTGCTAAATCTCACATTATTGACAGAGACACTGGGCGACAGTTATCAGGCTGTGAATGTGGCCCGACAAACCTGAAGGAGTGAAAAAGTCTGATTCAATTCACTCCAATGTGGTTTTGTATTGCTCTAAATCACAGCAGTGGAGTGTGGAGTGGATGCAAAACAACTTCCTTTAGTTAAACACAAAAACAAAACTGAAACGATTGTCTTTGGTTCCGGAAACAAAGAGAGAGCGTTGCCTGTCACCTTTAGTCCCTCTCTCTACAATGTGGACATTAGGTCAGAAATCTATGGGTAAAAGTCACATCTAATCAGTGACATCAGCAGCTTTTTACCATCTAAAAAACATTGCCAGGATCAAAAACATAGTGTCTAAAGCAGACCTGGAGATTCTTATCCATGTATTTGTCTCCAGTAGGTTAGACTACTGCAATGGCCTGCTCACAGGTCTGTCCAAACAGGCTGTAAAACAGCTGCAGTACATTCAAAATGCAGCAGCTCGAGTCCTGACTAGAACCAGGAAGTACGACCATATTAGTCCTTGTCACTCCCGTATTCGTCCCGGGAACCGGATTCGTCCTGAAGTTCAGTTTGATCCAATGATCATACGCAGCAGTAGATTACGTCACGAAATCTGGACGGAAGCGGAAGTAAATATAAAAAACTACCTATTCATGCCTAAACTTAACCAGCCATTCCCATAAGATAACCCCAACCCAGCCTTAACCCTAACCTTAACCATCTTACTCAGACCCACCTTAACCCTAACCTTAACCATCTTACTCAGACCCACCTTAACCCTAACCTTAACCATCTTACTCAGACACCTAAAACTTAACCAGTCACAACTTAAGGACTTATTAACTGAACTTCCGGACGAATCTGGTTTCCGGGACGAATACGGGAGTGACAAGGAGTACGACCACATTAGTCCTGACCGGAGCAGGTGCAAAGCACAGGGGGAAAGGTCCCGGTGCACATGAAATAATAATGGTTCCCGCACACTGCTGTCCTTGCAACAAAAAAAAATATTGGAAAATAGAACCAGGAAGTACCATCCCATTAGTCCAGTTCTCAGGTCTGTAAAACAGATCTGTTTGTTACAAGTCTCTGCACGGCCTCGCACAAAAGTAAAAGTGCTTTGTGACTCTGTGAAAGGCGCTATATAAATAAAGATTACTTACTTAATTACTTACATCTGAGACAGTTAGTGCCATATCAACTCAGACTCTGAGAAGCACAGGGACTGGCCTCCTGCTGGGACTCTGGGGAGCACAGGGACTGGCCTCCTGCTGGGACTCTGAGGGGCACAGGGACTGGCCTCCTGCTGGGACTCTGAGGAGCACAGGGACTGGCCTCCTGCTGGGACTCTGGGGAGCACAGGGACTGGCCTCCTGCTGGGACTCTGGGGAGCACAGGGACTGGCCTCCTGCTGGGACTCTGAAGAGCACAGGGACTGGCCTCCTGCTGGGACTCTGAGGAGCACGGGGACTGGTCTCCTGCTGGGACTCTGGGGAGCACAGGGACTGGTCTCCTGCTGGGACTCTGAGGAGCACAGGGACTGGCCTCCTGCTGGGACTCTGAAGAGCACAGGGACTGGCCTCCTGCTGGGACTCTGGGGAGCACAGGGACTGGCCTCCTGCTGGGACTTTGAAGAGCACAGGGACTGGCCTCCTGCTGGGACTCTGAGGAGCACAGGGACTGGCCTCCTGCTGGGACTTTGAAGAGCACAGGGACTGGCCTCCTGCTGAGACTCTGAGGAGCACAGGGACTGGCCTCCTGCTGAGACTCTGAGGAGCACAGGGACTGGCCTCTTGCAGGGACTCTGAGGAGCACAGGGACTGGCCTCCTGCTGGGACTCTGAGGAGCACAGGGACTGGCCTCCTGCTGGGACTCTGAGGAGCACAGGGACTGGCCTCTTGCTGGGACTCTGAGGAGCACAGGGACTGGCCTCCTGCTGGGACTCTGAGGAGCACAGGGACTGGCCTCTTGCTGGGACTCTGAGGAGCACAGGGACTGGCCTCCTGCTGGGACTCTGAGGAGCACAGGGACTGGCCTCCTGCTGGGACTCTGATGAGCACAGGGACTGGCCTCCTGCTGGGACTCTGAGGAGCACAGGGACTGGCCTCCTGCTGGGACTCTGAGGAGCACAGGGACTGGCCTCTTGCTGGGACTCTGATGAGCACAGGGACTGGCCTCCTGCTGGGACCTGACTTGTGCCCGGAGTCAGGGGCTAAACCTGGGGCTGCAACAGATTCATGGCGCTAAAATCTGGAACAGTCTACAGAAAACGTAAGACAGGCTTCTTCTCTGACGATGTTTAAATCCAGGTTAAAAACTGGATATAACCTGGATTTAATTTCTGTTTAACTGCATATTGACTCGTTTTTAATTTACAGAGATTATTTAGGATTTGTGTGACTGTTTCCATTGTGTTTTGTTCAGTACGTTTTAGTTTCCTTGTGTGTGAATTGTGCTATTGACCCCGTGCATGTGACGACCCGGCCACGCCCACTCTCCATGACAGACGGCAGAAGTCTAACTGGAGCCTACGGACACCTGACCAAAACAACCTGTTTCAGCGCATTACAGCCAAAACTGTGACATTTTGCAGTGCGGTTGATTATACTAACAGGCAAGGACATAAGCTTTTTTATCTGATACCTGCTCGTCATGAAGACAGAAGACGACGATGGCGGCAATCAACCAAAAGGACTGGGACCCACCCAAGTACTCCCTAATATGCAGTGAACACTTTTTACAAGATAAATCAATCACAAGTTTGTATTTATTTTATTTCCATTAATTTGGAGCACAATGACACACGTCAAACGTGTCTCTTACTACTGTCCTGTATGTGCGCTGCAACATTGACATTTTTATCTTTTAAGTCAATTGCGTGTTTCACTATTTTCCTCTCCGTCAGTACGTATCATGTTTGGCTGTAGACAGAAAAGCCACAGAAAAGTGGACTATTGCTAATGCTACCAGCAAAATGTGTGAGGGGATGCATTGTTAACGATAATGATTAAGATCATGTAGGGTGAATTTGGGCAAAAATAGACATTTTATTTAATTGATCAAATTGACTGGGGGGAGAAGGTACGGGTCAACATCCAGTTAGGCGATCCTTAACTTCTCCAAATACCACTCTTTGTGAGCCCTGACCTGATGTCCTACTTCCACCTATAACGTAATCGAACATGTGCTTGAAGCAGCCACTTCTCGATTTAGGAGAGGAAGCTCCGTTCTTGCAGCAATGCTAGTTTCCAATACTTCCGCCGTAAGCTCATTCGCAATCACGTGACTGGATGACGTTGATGCATCTGGTCAATACAATAAACTTGCTCTTGACTGACTCTGTGGTGGTGAGAGCGAAGGACCAGAGCAGGAGGCGGAGGCTGTGAGCGCTCTAAGTGACGTTAGCGGGCGGGAAGTTTCTGCTTTTAAACTGCTTGATTGACATTAATTGGCAGAGCTGTGTGATTGGCTGAGGCTGAAGGAGGCGGGTCCTTGAGGAGATTGTTTAGGACCCAATTTTATCCTATTACTAAGAATAATGGAGTTAAAAATAATACTAATAATAATGGTGTCAATCACAATAATACTAATTGTTTATTTAATGTTTATGTATGTTTAATTGAACATATAATACATTTAAAAAACAGTAAGAACAAAAGCAAAAAATAAAAGCAAAACAAATGACAATAAGTACAAGACAATAACAAAAAAGAAAGGAAATAATAAAAACTTATTCATGTTCAAAAGTAGTAGGAAGAATCCAAAGCTTAAATCCTTCTCCTTTTCCCTATGTTAGTTCAATATATTGAAATAAGTTATAAAACAATTATCATACTGATATATACATATAAACATACATATATACACGTGCATACATATAGCCATACAAGTACATAATAATAATGGTGGTAGAAAAAACAATACTAAAACTAATACTAATGGTGATAATAAGAATAATACTAATACTAATAATAACACGGGGTTTCTTCTTTACAAAAATAAATTGAATTGAAAAATCACGTTTCTAACCATAATAACCTGCGCACGCACACACTGCACCAGGTCACACAGACGTAGACGTAGATAACGTGTAGCGACCTCTGTTCTGTTCTAGTCCCAAATCGTCCCCAGACGCCGAACAGAATCCACCAATGAGAAAACGCCCTGTTGTCTTCTCTCTCCTACGTCACTCCGCGCTACGTCAGCACACACTCAAACATGGCGGTGTCCAGACATCACACCGCTCATGTGTGCATCGCAACTTTTCTCACCGCCTTTTTACTGCACTGCAGCCGGGCAGACGTGGCCACAGCTGCCCCGGGCACAGACGCACTGCCACACCGCCGCTTCGAGTACAAGTACAGCTTCAAAGGTCCGCACCTGTCCCAGTCCGACGGCTCCATTCCCTTCTGGATCCACACTGGAAGTAAGTTTGTCAACATTGAAGCTCTTGTCGCTTTGATCCAAGGGAAATAAGTTTTGCTCTAATAATTATCTGTGTTTGAGTTGTACGTACGAGCTTCTGTTATATGCATGCAATTAAATTAACCTTATTTACTGCTGGGATAAGCCACAACTGGATATATGTAGTGTCAGTGCGTGCAGATAACAGCCTTTGGAAATCTCTGTGTATATATATTCAGAAGATTTATGACATGCCACGTTTCAGATGTGTCTGGTCATGTACTTATGTGGCGCTGGAGCTAATCACAGTGATGAATGTCAGGTTGACAGGCAGCCATATCTGCTGGCAACTAACAGTGGTCTAAGGTCATTGTTGTGGCGCAGTGAAGGCTAATCTCTTGTGGGTATAGTCTCTCGTATATAAACATTTTAATTTTAAATACTAAACATCATTTTTTTGGACTCTTAAGATGTTTCAGATGGGTTCATTCATTCATTCCATACACAGTGGTGATAAACTGTTATTGTAGCCACAGCTGCCCTGGGGTAAACTGGCAGAAGAGTGGCAACCAGTCTGTGCCGTCAGCTCCTCAGACCACTACTGACCTTTAACACGCACACCAGACTCATTCTAATGTGGGTGAAGTGTCTTGCCTAAGGACACAGCAACAGTTTGCATCTGCTCCACTGTGGCTCCTGGTGTTCCCAGAGGTCTCCCATCACAGTACTAACCAGGCCATGTCCTGCTTAGCTTGAGAGGTCTGACAAGATCTGGCAGGTGGTGGCACGTTTTTTGGCTTGCCTGATTTCCGATGTTTAACTAACAATCAAATGCATCTGAGCCTCTATTCTAGAGAGAGAGAGACCAGAGAAACCAGGGAGAGAGAGACCAGAGAAAGAGGGACCAGAGAGAAAGAGGGACCAGAGAGAAAGAGGGACCAAAGAGAGAGAGGGACCAGAGAGGGACCAGAGAGAGAGAGAGGGACCAGAGAGAGAGAGAGGGACCAGAGAGAGAGAGAGGGACCAGAGAGAGAGAGAGGGACCAGAGAGAGAGAGAGGGACCAGAGAGAGAGAGAGGGACCAGAGAGTGGGACCAGAGAGTGGGACCAGAGAGTGGGACCAGAGAGTGGGACCAGGGAGTGGGACCAGAGAGTGGGACCAGGGAGTGGGACCAGAGAGTGGGACCAGAGAGTGGGACCAGAGAGTGGGACCAGAGAGAGGGACCAGAGAGAGGGACCAGAGAGAGGGACCAGAGAGAGGGACCAGAGAGAGGGACCAGAGAGAGGGACCAGAGAGAGGGACCAGAGAGAGGGACCAGAGAGAGGGACCAGAGAGGGGACCAGAGAGAGGGACCAGAGAGAGGGACCAGAGAGAGGGACCAGAGAGAGGGACCAGAGAGAGGGACCAGGAGAGGGACCAGAGAGAGGGACCAGAGAGAGGGACCAGAGAGAGGGACCAGAGAGAGGGACCAGAGAGAGGGACCAGAGAGAGGGCCGAGAGAGGAACCAGAGAGAGGAGAGAGTGGACCAGAGAGTGGGACCAGAGAGTGGGACCAGAGAGTGGGACCAGAGAGTGGGACCAGGGAGTGGGACCAGGAGTGGGACCAGAGAGTGGGACCAGAGAGTGGGACCAGAGAGTGGGACCAGAGAGTGGGACCAGAGAGTGGGACCAGAGAGTGGGACCAGAGAGTGGGACCAGAGAGTGGGACCAGAGAGTGGGACCAGAGAGTGGGACCAGAGAGTGGGACCAGAGAGTGGGACCAGAGAGTGGGACCAGAGAGTGGGACCAGAGAGAGGGACCAGAGAGAGGGACCAGAGAGAGGGACCAGAGAGAGGGACCAGAGAGAGGGACCAGAGAGAGGGACCAGAGAGAGGGACCAGAGAGAGGGACCAGAGAGAGGGACCAGAGAGAGGGACCAGAGAGAGGGACCAGAGAGAGGGACCAGAGAGAGGGACCAGAGAGAGGGACCAGAGAGAGGGACCAGAGAGAGGGACCAGAGAGAGGGACCAGAGAGAGGGACCAGAGAGAGGGAGAGAGGACCAGAGAGAGGGACCAGAGAGAGGGACAGGGAGAGAGGGACCAGAGAGAGGGACCAGAGAGAGGGACCAGAGAGTGGGACCAGAGAGTGGGACCAGAGAGTGGGACCAGAGAGTGGGACCAGAGAGTGGGACCAGAGAGTGGGACCAGAGAGTGGGACCAGAGAGTGGGACCAGAGAGTGGGACCAGAGAGTGGGACCAGAGAGTGGGACCAGAGAGTGGGACCAGAGAGTGGGACCAGAGAGTGGGACCAGAGAGTGGGACCAGAGAGTGGGACCAGAGAGTGGGACCAGAGAGTGGGACCAGAGAGTGGGACCAGAGAGAGGGACCAGAGAGAGGGGACCAGAGAGTGGGACCAGAGAGTGGGACCAGAGAGTGGGACCAGAGAGAGGGACCAGAGAGAGGGACCAGAGAGAGGGACCAGAGAGAGGGACCAGAGAGAGGGACCAGAGAGAGGGACCAGAGAGAGGGACCAGAGAGAGGGACCAGAGAGAGGGACCAGAGAGAGGGACCAGAGAGAGGGACCAGAGAGAGGGACCAGAGAGAGGGACCAGAGAGAGGGACCAGAGAGAGGGACCAGAGAGAGGGACCAGAGAGAGGGACCAGAGAGAGGGACCAGAGAGAGGGACCAGAGAGAGGGACCAGAGAGAGGGACCAGAGAGAGGGACCAGAGAGAGGGACCAGAGAGAGGGACCAGAGAGAGGGAGAGACCCCAGGGAGAGAGAGACCAGAGAAAGAGGGACCAGAGAGAAAGAGGGACCAGAGAGAGAGAGAGAGGGACCAGAGAGAGGGACCAGAGAGAGGGACCAGAGAGAGAGAGGGACCAGAGAGAGAGAGGGACCAGAGAGAGAGAGGGACCAGAGAGAGAGAGGGACCAGAGAGAGAGAGGGACCAGAGAGAGAGAGGGACCAGAGAGAGAGAGGGACCAGAGAGAGAGAGAGAGAGAGAGAGAGAGAGACCTGAGAGAGAGAGACCAGAGAGAGAGAGAGAGAGACCCTACTCCATTCAATGTCTCTGTCAACCCATGCTTTGTTTGATTTGCTAATCTGCTATTAGTAAATCAACAATTGTGTTCGTGTTTGAAATCTGGTTGAGCTGTACAAACAACTGTGATCCTTAAAGTTACAGAGTCTGCAAATATTGTTGGAGGACTTCACAAAGCTGTCGATTTGCCAACAACAGATCAGAAAATCAAATAGTTTAAACAACAGAGACCAATGTCTGTAAATGTCAATAAAGTCCATAAATGTTTTTGAATATCTTGTGTCCTGGATCTTCACATAGTTCTTAGACCCTCCTGCATCTGCAGAGAACAACTCTTAAAAACCCAGTGGGAGAAAAAGAGAGAGACCAGAGAGAGACCAGAGAGAGACCAGAGAGGGAGACCAGAGAGGGCGACCAGAGAGGGCGACCAGAGAGGGCGACCAGAGAGGGCGACCAGAGAGGGCGACCAGAGAGGGCGACCAGAGAGGGCGACCAGAGAGGGCGACCAGAGAGGGCGACCAGAGAGGGAGACCAGAGAGGGAGACCAGAGAGGGAGACCAAGAGAGGGAGACCAGAGAGGGAGACCAGAGAGGGAGACCAGAGAGGGAGACCAGAGAGGGAGACCAGAGAGGGAGACCAGAGAGGGAGACCAGAGAGGGAGACCAGAGAGGGAGACCAGAGAGGGAGACCAGAGAGGGAGACCAGAGGGAGACCAGGAGGGAGACCAGAGAGGGAGACCAGAGAGGGGACCAGAGAGGGAGACCAGAGAGGGAGACCAGAGAGGGAGACCAGAGAGGGAGACCAGAGAGGGAGACCAGAGAGGGAGACCAGAGAGGGAGACCAGAGAGGGAGACCAGAGAGGGAGACCAGAGAGGGAGACCAGAGAGGGAGACCAGAGAGGGAGACCAGAGAGGGAGACCAGAGAGGGAGACCAGAGAGGGAGACCAGAGAGGGAGACCAGAGAGGGAGACCAGAGAGGGAGACCAGAGAGGGAGACCAGAGAGGGAGACCAGAGAGGGAGACCAGAGAGGGAGACCAGAGAGGGAGACCAGAGAGGGAGACCAGAGAGGGAGACCAGAGAGGGAGACCAGAGAGGGAGACCAGAGAGGGAGACCAGAGAGGGAGACCAGAGAGGGAGAGAGACTAGAGAGAGAGAGAGGAGAGAGAGAGAGAGAGAGAGAGAGAGAGAGAGAGACTAGAGAGAGAGAGAGAGAGAGAGACTAGAGAGAGAGAGAGAGACCAGAGAGAAAGAAGGAGAGAGTCCTTAGACCCTCCTACATCTGCAAAGAACAACTCTTAAAACCCCAGTGGGAGAAAAGCGAGAAAAACGTGTTGATATTGAGCATGTTTTCTGGTTCTTTTCCGCAGATGCCATTCCCAGCTCGGACCAGGTTCGCATCACTCCGTCTCTGCGCAGTCAGCGAGGATCTGTCTGGACCAAAAACAAGGTCAGCTTCCAGTCCTGGGAAGCCGAGGTGACGTTCCGAGTGTCGGGCCGCGGCAGGATGGGAGCAGATGGACTGGTAAGAGCCCGAGGACTGATACTGTTGTCCAAACTTTACCTCAGAACGCAATTAAGCTAGGCCTTTTATACTTAATCCTTGCTTCTTCATAATGCTAAAGCTAGAGATTTTAGACTTGCTTTTGTATTATGCTAGCCTGGTCTTACCATCGTGCTCATTTAATTTTGTACATGTAGGGTCCTAATAATTGACCGAAATGTACAGATTGCTAAGGTCAGGCTAGTGTTATGCTAACGCTACTTGCTTCTTTATTTTGCTAAAGTTAGATATTTTGTTTTTATTTCAGTATAGAGTTATTGATCATTTATCTTGTGTCGTGTGCTCCTCATTCCTACTGTTCCGTATCCTGGTGACGCAACACTGAAACGTCCCCACTGTGAGACGAAAAAGGATCTCTCAGTCGTAATCTACATCTTTAAAACAAAATGTGTGTTATCGGACAAGCAGCTTCAGTCTCTTATCACATCTCCGCATTGGAATTTTTTTGCTTTAAGATTGTCAAAATGTTCTCAAATTAATATAAATGTATCCAACTTTGAGCCATGTCTGAGTTGATTTTTTTTGGGCTTCTTTTGCGGCCTGGCTTCACGTTCACATACAACAATCTATTATAAGGTTTTGTCTGGTTGTATAAGGTCAGATTATTCAGCATTTGTCACTTCTAAAGCTATAGGTTGGAGACCCCTGTAGAGGCCTAGTAGAGCCTCCTTGTGCTGCCTGTATGACTGTTATCTGGCTCCCTCTCTGGCAGGCCATCTGGTTCACCACTGACCAAGGCCTGGACGGTCCGGTCTATGGAGCGGCCGACAAATGGAACGGAGTTGGAATTTTCTTTGATTCCTTTGACAACGACGGCAAGGTTTGTGTGTGTGCATCTGAGTAGCAGCATTTCTGGCTAATGGCGTCAGGCTAATAATTATGAATCCGTCGATCAAAAACAACACGTAACTCTTCACGCAACTTCACACGGACCGTCGAGACTGCCAGCCAGACTTTGCAAACTAGCATTGGCTATAAATATATTAGTGTTAAATAAATAAATAAATAAATGAATTAAGTAACCCCTGTTGTTAGCCAGGACACGTTAAGGTTCGGTACATTCTTGTCTCTGGAGAAATGGTTAGTCTGTATTTTCCCTACTGTACGCAGACACAGAGAGAACATGCAAATTCTGTGTGTTTTTTTTCCCCGAACCCCAAAATCAAATATATTCTGATCCTGTAATACCAAGGTCTGTATTGTTTTCTTTTGGTAGACTTCGCTTATTATTATTATTATTATTATTATTATTATTATTATTATATCTATCTAATAACTTCTGCATATTTTTGTTTTATTTGATCATTAATTGTTTGTTTATATAGGGCACTGTCCGGTTTCCGAAATGTGCTAAAAATAGTTCCAATGACTGCGCATGCGCGCATGTTTCGGACAAACTCTGTCCGACTCCGTTGAGTACTACTGTGTTCTCCACATAAGCGTGTGTATTTATTTGGGCTAAATCATTGAATCATGGTGACAACAAAACACTGCAGTTATGGTGCTTGTCGGAGCGATTTCAGATACTCTGAAAAGGACTATATGAAAGCAGTAACATTCAACCTGTTCGTTAAACCACACCATCGAACCAGACCAGGACCAGACCAGGACAAGTGCAAGAGGTGGGTGCTTGTGGTCAGCAGAATTTCTCTCATGAAAATGTTAAAAAGGACATGTTTTTTCAAAACACTTCGCTGGACCAACTGTGGAGCCTCCAGATCCAGTCCTAGCTACGTTTAGCTGGGACTGGACCTGGACCGCTGTATCAGGTCCGTCTGAGCTCTTCTGAATGTAGTTAGCCCCATCAATCCATATTAGTATTGTTTGTCCTAATCCAGAATGTATACAATTCTCACACCTGAAGAAAGATGAGAGGGATTTTTTCAACTTCGTGACTATCGGAAAATAAGCACAGACGAAGCGCGTTGGGGTCCGCTTATTATACGGCTTTGTACCAACTGAACACACAAAATAAACTGTCACTATTCATGCCAAAAGGTTTATTTAATGAGTGCAAAGAAAATAGTTCCCAAAGGTTTTAGTTCACCTACTTTAAAAAAGCGATCGCTTTAGTCGCATTAAAAAAGTATTTTTGTCATGAAAACCTTAACAGATAATTCTGAAAACCTCTGTGCACGTGTGTTGTATGAATATTATATTCTAGCATTAACATTTAAATATGTTGATTGATTGTCGTTTGCGTTTACTGAGTGTGGCTAGCTCCGATAGTTTCTCTCTCAGAGACAGTAGTGGTGTAGCCCGTTGTGATCATGGATCTATTATAATATCGGCTGACTGTAGTTAACTAAATGATCAAACTAATTACGAAATGGACAGTACAAAAAACAACTTGATAAATGGAAGTTAATCAGAGCAAAATAAACAAAGAAGGCGCTAACATTGCAATTTAAATGACTAGATAATGTTAGCATAATCCTCACCATTACCTTTTTATCAAATCAAACTTTCTACCAGTTACTGGAAGACCACGACATTCAAGCCAACGTTTTAATTGGTCTACACACTATGGTCCTGATGGTTTGATGGTAGAATTTTGCCCCTGGTTTATCATTTTCGTCTAAAGTGACAAGAGGTATTTGATTCATTTTGGCAGTGTTTGTCCGAAACATGTGGGCGGGAGTTGACAGGCGGCGGGGGCGTGTCTTAGTGACGTCATTCAGATAGTTCGCTATTATGAATGTGCATTAGCCGCTAATAGGCTACGTAGGCT